TTACATATCTAAATTGTACAACAACAGTGCGAAATACAAGCTCACTAAAAATAGCAAACAACAACGAAAGGAAGCAAGCCACGAAGGCACAGAGCAGAACAATAGTTAATGATTTTTATGAATGCATACAATTATCGCAGCTCAATGTTGAGAAAGTTATAGAATCGGCTATAAAGCCAATGTTGGGCGAAGGCAAGTCACCGTGAAAAATTTTATGCAGTAAATCGTATGAAAATATTTATCAGTTCGAAAGCCATGACGTGATGTGAAATATTGTTTCTTTTATTTTGGTTTGTTGTTGTTGTTGTTGCTTTAAGCATTGCCGAACTTCAAAGTCATAATCTCCACAAAACAGCTGTTTTTGTTTAAAATTGGTTACCTTGAGTGGCGTTTTGTTTTCCCAAGTCGCTGATAAATAATTAAGAAATGAATGTCAGCTAAAAATATTTCAAGAATTCCAAATAAAGCGTCTAAAAAGTAAGGCAGCAGCAGCTATTAAGACAGCAATGGCGTTGATATGTATTTGTTTGAATGAAAGCTTGTTTACATAAGGGAGAGATAGGAATCAATCAGTCAAGAAAGTGAAGAACGAGTTCAGGTTTGAACTGGGTCATCAGCTATAAGTACAAAGTACAAGAAATATTTTGAAAGCCTGAGCAAATCAAAACCAGAAATGGCGAATAAAAGAACAATAGTCATCGAGGCCCGACTTGAAAACGAATTCTGCAGTAAAACTGCTAAAAAGAAGTGCTTTCCTAAACTTTTCCAGCAGAGGGTAGAACCAAGCATATGAGAATTTCAACGTAACACTTTGGGCCGAGAGAATGATTAAGTTCGCAAGAACGGCTTAGTTAAGAGAAAGTCCCACGACTACCGAAGCACCCTCAATGCTACCTTCGGTTTAAGTTCAGAAAATACAAATGAAGACGGGCAACGCTTAAGACGTCGGACTGTGGGGAGACGTCCGGAGACGGAAACTTAAACCCGTTCTGGAAGAACCGCGTTTGCAATAGAAGCAAATCATATACATAACCACCATCTAAACTAAGAACATTGCGTTTACAATTGCAGTATGGCTTTATGCACCGGGTCAGTTTGTATTCAGGACGTATGGCCACAGTAATTTAGCGTCCAGAAAAAATTTCGAAAGGTTTATTGGAGCTAGAATAAAGTTTAATTGATTTCACAGTGATGGTAATGAGAAGCACGTAAACATTGAAGATTCCAAAGTAGGCGAAGGAGGTGGAGCTGCAGTTAATTACTCTGACCCAGAAACTTCCAAATACTTTAAGATTATGGACCACTTAATTATTTTTCAAGCCAAAATTTAGGCAATAAAGATTTCGTTTTAATATAATGCCTATTCGAAGAACATTTTGGATTCTAAGGGGGTAATAAGAGGGCTAGCCATGATCAAAACCATTCACCTGTATTTGATTCAAGGACACAAAGCTGTTGAAGGTACCGAACTATGTAGCTGACGTACTAGGCAAAAGGCGCTATTTTCTAGACGTGTTACCAATGGCGGATGTACTGACACCTCTAAAGGAAACCAAACCAAATATGAAGGTCATACGATAGAAAACTTAGCGATTTCTTGTTATCAATGAAAAGGGCGGTGAAATTTTCGTCAGGAGTGCTAACGGGGTACTGCTTGTTAGCAACATATACGTTCAATTTACCGATTATGAAAAACTGAAGACGGCTATTTCTGCCTATTTGGCAGTCAGTTAAAAATCGTCCAAATAACCACCAAATCGTCAACCTGGCAACACTGGCTGATCTGTACGCCTAAGGTTGCAACTTATAAATACTTTCGAAAACATAATTGTATTCAAATGTCTACATACTTGCTTCCATGGAAAAGTGAATTAATAGAATTTAGAAGTTATCCTTAATTCACTCAAATCGCCACCATTCAATAAAGGGGGTTTCCACCCTAGCGTACAGTCAAGTGGCGAAAAGCAGAACGCTTAAGCAATTGTTTCAAGAAGCTACAAAAAGTAATTTCCCGCAAAATACGTAGAAACATATTTAGGTTTTTGAGTGCTCCACTTGTCGCATTAAAGGGAATCCCCTATGCGATTAACTCAGACAACACAATAAGCGTCTTTTCCGCTACAAATTCGTCAAAAGCAGCTCACCAATTCGTCAAGTGTTTTGCAGTTATTTAAAGTAAGAAGCGCTTTGACGATTCTGACCAAAGTGTGCGCACAATGCGTGATCTATGGAGCAAGAATAAAGCACAAATCTAAAGATCCAGCTGAAATTCCTTAATAGCCAATGTTTTTGAAAGCCTACATGGCATGACTTTCACTCGGCTGATAGCTGCGGCATCTTAGCGAGAGATTTGAATCCAAATTATTCAATTTAAGGCATGTGGCTATCCGATCACAGATCACTACGTACTAATATATGTATGTAAGTATGTATGTGTCTGCATGTTTATATATACATACATACATATATATGTACATAGTACATAGTACGAGTAAGCGCGTATATTTACTTCCATTTGTGTGCAAATTGATAATAATAAAAAGAGCGCAACAATAAGCATCACAACAACAACAACAACTCCAGCAACAATGCGCAAAACATGCTAACCAACAAATAAATAAAACACGCCCGTACAGCAAAGCTGCTCTATCTACAATGTTCATCGGCAAATGTGCTCGCTTGAGCGAGGGTGACGGTGGGGATCACTGCGCGGACTGATACGCAGTGACGTCAAACGATTGCCGAAGCTTTGGCCATAGCCATAGCTGGAGCTGAATGTTGCCTAGCGGATTTTGCTGCTGACGCTGTTGCCGCTGGCCAAGAGAAAAGTGGCTAATTCGGCGGCTTCAACTTAAGCCCCGCGCGTTTTGTCTCTTTGTTTTTGCAAGCTTAGGTGAATTCGCGGCTTGGCTATGACTTTTTTCGCCCATTTTTTTTTTTTT